CATCTTCTTAAAAAATCCTTTTTTTTTTTTAATGAAATACTGCACATATTTATATAAATATAAAAGTGACTCCAGGAATATATAAGTACAAACACATTCTGTTATTTACAGAGCTTTTCAATTTATATTTTCTAATTTCACTAGAATTTTCTTCGAAAATATTTGATATCAATTAGTTTACTACATTTGCCGCAAGAGCAATTGTTCAATTGTTAAAAATGGTCAATTAATGGATGATAATATCTCATCCGCATCCGAGCTCTTTTTGCTTCTTGTACGACAAGGCTTTTTCATGTCAGTAACCGCCAGTCTGCTGGAGGTCAATTCACGTCGTTGACCCTTTTGGTCTACAGTCTACGTGATTCGGCAGAAGAGAAATGAAAATAGTGAGTGTGAATGATACGGCCACACATATCGATATTTCGTATTCGATACAGACGGAAGATATGAGGCTGTCCGGTTGTTCGCTTATGAATGACGCAAACCAAGGACAAAGGACATATACGTACTTTAATCGAATGTAAATGTGATTCATGCGAGATAATATCTTCATACTTATATGTTGTACAGAGCGCAGATATTAAAAATCACGCGATTCTACGGAATATTTCTCAACTCCACTTACTTGTTACCATATTTAATTTAATTTATTAGATTTGCTTATTACATTTGTTTATTATTTTCTTTATTACATTTATATTATTATATTTAATTAATTTGATTCGTTGCTAAAAATTGATATATTATTTTATATTCCATCTGTGTTTCAAAACAGTTGTATGAAGAATTATAAAAGTACAACTGAATATGCAGAAAATACGAATATGTAGCATGTGCATCTGTTACTTGATATCTGAGTGATTTTCTCATAAATCTTTTTGTATGAACATTTGCAATGCGCATACGTATGTGATACACTGTATATGATAAAATCGACAATTATGCAATTATACTTTGTTAAATCTTGTGTATTGTTGGACATTTTCAACGATACGACTGGCTGATACAATTCTAAAATCTAATCGTCTGCAAGTATGTAAACTCTTTCAATTAGTACATCGCGATAATAGGAATTTATCGTTTTAGATTTCCTCATCTCTTGATTATTATTAAGAACTTAGAACATGAATGTTATTAAGATAATAGGTGTGATTGAAAAATCATTAGGATTGTAATTATCCTTATTTTGAATTAATTAATATGATTATTTTTTACTTCGATGTGCAATTGCCACAAAATTGGCATTGCTTGAGTCAGTAAAAAAGTATATAGGAATTTTATGTTTTCGAAATGTCGACATTGTCCCATCATCGTATGACCTCGTGTAACCGCGTAGCATTGAAAAAGTTTCCAATGGTTCATGTGTCCGGAATCGAAAGCACATTTGTTGCCATGTGGCCTTTTGTAGTTGCATCGTATATGAATTAAGATCTTCCGGGATTACCCGTCTTTATAAGTGTTCTTTGTTAATAATACTGACATCATCACTGGAGACACTACTTAAGTGCGAGCCTCGTTAAATTATCATTTTTGGTCGAAGAACAATTAAACCGAGAAAAACTCGGATGAAATATTCCTGAAATATTTTCTGAATCATAAAAACGGCATTAAATAATGTGTAATAATTAGAACAAGAAATGAAAACATATTTTTCTAAATATAGAGCTCATCGTACAATCTCAATTTACGTCACATAGGATTCCACGATGACGATTTTTCATGATTACGTATGCATTGTTTCCTCCTATCGGGAACATAAAGAAAACATGTCCGAAGAAAAAAATATGTACATTTCACTGCTCTCACTTCTCAGCGGACTGGTTTCTCATTATTTAAATTTTGATTACAGATTAGTGAGATTTGATTCTTAAATTTTGATTATATATAGTACCTATTTTTCGGCTGCGATTGTCCATATATTTCATCTTTCATATTTTTAAACGATATTGATAGCATTCATAATTCGCTAAAACGATATGTTTAAATGTGCAATATATAATGAGATCTATTTTTTGTCTCAAAGTACTTTGTTCATCAGTGAAACCTGAACTCTGAATATCAGTACGATGAGCGGCACGTATTAATCATTTATCTCTTTTATCACACCGCATTATTCATCATGTAGATAAAAAGCTCAATTGCCGGGGCGCGTTGCATGGAACATCGCGTACGTTTTCCTTTTTGCTTGACTTGGAAGAAAAAAAACGAGATGGTAAAAAGAATAAATCAGTACATCTGGCGCGAACTGGCTCTCCCATTCGATATTTATGCGTCCGGGATGAATTCGAATAAAAGCATCGTGACGAGAGAAGATTCTATGCTTAGCAAAATAATGCTATATTGAAAAGTATTTTAAATTAGTACACGTAATTTTTAAACGTTTTTATATAAATATACGTAATACTTTTTACATACGCACATCGATAACAGTGATTTTATTTAATTTAGAGATATTGCAGAAAAATAATGTATTAACAGAAAAATGCATTATTCATAAGAATATAATTTTAGGATAAAATATTTCAGGAGTACAAAAAAAATTTGAATTTTAAATTACTGAATAAACTAGTATTCTAGGAATGTATATCTATTATTTTAAATAACAATGTTCTATATATGTGCAATTAAAATGATGATTTAACATATTTTGGTACTATACAATAGCAATTTTATTCGTACCTTGACCGCCAATGAGGCATTCTCCTGCTTTCACAGACTTAACAGAGGCGCAATGGCTCGCTTCTTACATGCAAAAATAGATCATCTGGTTGGACACTGACCTTGCTATTGCGTAATGACGCGATTCGCGAAGATACCTAATCATAATAGATTCAGCCGAAATACGCCTCATATACTTATTGAACAAAAAACATCAGATATCGCGTGTGGATAAAAATGTCTTCTTTAAATTTAAATTTGAATTTAAAGTCAATATTGAAGAATAAAAAATTAACATGTGAAAAATTGATGATATTTTGGAAAACGTAATGAGAGACTCTATAAACTTGATTAGTTCGATATCGTCAATAGCTTACGTGGAATAATATTGTAATGAAAAAAGAAGTTAATATGCATCATGATGCCTTATTCAGGGTGAATGTTTTACATGCCTTATCTATTCATTTTCATAGATTTTCATTTAAATAAACTTAGATGAGAACACATTTGCACAATATTTAAATATTTATCTAGTGGGTAAAAGCGGATTGACCAGTACATTATTTAACTTTCATATCCTGTTGTATAATTAGTGTAGTGTGAAAAATTTTTTCCGTTTTTTCCTGGTTTATACTTTTGAGAAACATGATAAAATCTTGTTTGTCGATTATGTGCTAAATAAGATATGCACATCAATTGTGTATCAATTATATAGAATTAGGATATGTTAAATAATACGATAAACTTAAAACTCTAATATAAGTCAAGAATATTTTCTTAACAAAATTTATACTTGCAGTTAAAATAGCTTATTTTTTATACACATATTTATATTCTTTGAATTTTATATCTACACTGGAAAAAAATCTTGTTGCATTAACCAAAATTCTGTTCAAAAATCGACGAAACAGAATTACTTGAATCTACCAGAATTATTTTTAATGCAACAAATATCTTGTCTGCACAAACAACTGATTCGTTGCACAAACAAGATACTTGTTGCATTAAGAGGAATTCTGGTAGATTCAAGTAATTCTGTTGCATCCATTTTTGAACAGAATTTTTGTTAATGCAATAAGATTTTTTTCTCAGTATATATAATTCAGAAAAATATAGAAGAGACTATTCGATGCTTTCAATAAGATGCTACGCCTCGTTTGCGCGAATAACAGTTCGATAGCACGAAGAATTCACTGGTTTCCTCGCTCGATGTATCCTCGCGAGTGAACTTTATTGAAAGTTTCGCGTGAAAGTCAATGAAGGAGTCCGGCCAAAAATCGAGAGTCTGACCGATCGAAATTGTGAATTCGAGATCCGCGCGTACTTATATACGACGTCTAAAAATATACGATGAGCTCATTGTGTGCACACGATATTTCAAGTCAACAATCACGTTGTGTTACGAGCGAGTAAAATGCGAATTTTCATCGACGGTGTCGCCGATATGCAAATGAGTCGAGTCAAGTAAGCTCCGAGAGAATTTCGCGACAAGTCAACATCTACGCGATATGTTCACGGCTGGAATTTGCATTCGGTAATGAGTAGCGATTTGTAGGTCACATTGACTTACGACTGAGACATGGAATTAGATATAAGAATGCCTCGAGCAGATAATGCGTCATAATTTTATTGTAAGCCGAAGGTAACGGGTATCAGTAAAAATTCACGTAGGTACACAATTCGTGGACATGTTAATGAAACTGCTAGAAAGTTTTAGAAATAGTTTGAAAATAACTCCGCGTATTACTTTTAATATCTTTATCGCTTTAATGATGTAGAAATTTTCTATTTTGTTTCAACACGTTTATGTGCTTTGCTGTTTGTGGAATTTCTAATTTTTATGAAGCATCAGCTAGTTTTTTTGTGGAATGAAAAAAATGCTGACAAGGAAACGTAACTTTATCCTCAGATATCAGTATTTTATTCTGTTGACGTAAAACAATCTATCCTAATGGTATTTAAAAAATGCTATCGCGATAAATGTTAAAATCAATTCATGTTACTCCGAAATGTTGGCACTTGGAAGTAGATATACGAAACGAAAGTTTTGCGCAATGTCAACGAGGAAAGAAGACAGTTGCTACAAAAATGCGACCAGTAAAGAAAGAAGTACAAGCAGATATCACGAGGATCGCGCGAAGCAAATGGGTCATGGCGATAAGATAAAGTTCCTGGCATAGAGCGATTGTTAACGTCATCTCTTAACTTGACATGCTGAAGAATCCTCGAAGACATCGGAGCCATTTTGACGACTCGATCGCGTTGCCGATCATCGATCTCACCGTCGTAGTAGCATCGGAAGAGACCCGCGAGTTCGTTCTGCGCCGCGAATAAACACTCACCTGGTCTGGGAGTGTTGTTGACGTTTCGGGAGGGGTCAGTGGTTCCGCTTGTACGACTTCAGGACGGAATATGCAGAGGTAGAACGGACTGGTTCACGTTACGATTATTTCACGTTTATTGCGCGCGATGGAATTTCTGAACTAAAGCGGCTGTCGGAGCCGAGCGAACTATTCGAGGCGTACCTTCCTTTGAAGAGACGGAACGGTCGCAGAGCGTGGGGCCTCAGGGTCGGACGCGCCGATTGGTTGAGCTGATCCCCTGGACTTGGGTCTTAGGTAGAAATTATGCTGACAGGTGAGAAGAGCGCGCCACCTGGTAAGGCTTGGGTTCTCGAATAAACTGACAAAAAGAGGCTGTTGGAGAACGGCTTCGTGATTGCCGATCAGCTGCGTGGGTGTCGATGCGACAGCAAGAGGCTGAATCCGGTTAAAAGGACGTACGGGGACGACAAAAATGATCGAGTGATCAGAACAGATAGCAAGTTGCATAAGGAAGCTGTTTTCGAGTTTTTACAGCGTCGAGATGCGTTTTAACGTCAATTAATATTTGGGTAATGATAAAAATTAGAGCATGTGGATAAGAAGCTTTATCTTTAAATTGGCCCGAACTATCAATAAGAGATTGAAGAAAAATACTAACGGTTTAATTGTTCAAGCATAAAGATCGCAAGCTATCGCTATAATAATCGATCATTCTAGCGATTCTATCTCTTGAAGGATAAAGAACAATTACAAATAAATTGATAAATTTATTATAGTCTGAAAAATAAATGTTTTGAAGACGCTTAGATGATAGACGATGATAATCAGGTTGATAATCAATATCAGAATAAATTGTTATATATATATACCTATATAAAAATTATAGTTTAAAACCGAAAGGGCGTGGATAAAGGAAATAACAGATAAATTCTGAAAATATTATAGAGATAAGATAATATAATAGTATAGATAAAGTATAGGCTGCGAAATATATACGATATATATTTCACACTTTTCATGATATATAATAAAATATATCAATGTTTGTAATCCGTGAAAAATAATTATGATAAATCAAAAATATTAAAATGTTGCAAAAAATTAGATTTAACGCGCTATTTCTAATTATATTAAATTATTAAGTATAATTATAATTACATGCAATAAGATATATATTAGATACTAACAAAAAATTGTGTTATTTCTCTCTACTCGTCTCTATAAAAATATACGTGACTTATAATTAGAAATTTATATACGTCTAAAGTATGATAAAAACGATGTTGTTTACTTGGATATTTATCATGCCAATGAGAAATCGTTGGTCGATTTGAACAAGTCTGTCTTATCAATTAACAAAATATATTGAAGATTTTTTAGTTATTCGAAAAAATACATACATAAAATATATATTTTATATATTTATATATTTTTTTCTGAACCATGGCATATATAAAATATAAGAATATATGAATATAATATTAAATTTATATTTTATTATATATGCAATAGGAATAAAACGCTTCAAAGGAATCACTGTTGTTTTTTTATGATAAAATTGTCTGATTTTTTTTCACATTAAATGTCATGGGCGCAGTTAATATTTAAGCATACGATACGTAACATAAAGCTTAAAATAGGTTAGATAAGATAATAATTTAGCAGCTATCACAAATAAAACTGCTACGTTTAACGATATAATTTCTATCCAATATAATGTTAAAAACACTCATCAATATCTCACACAATATAAAACATAAAAACCATTTCTTTCTTTCGCATATTTTAATATTTAAGAAAAAGAAAATAATAAAAACTAAAATATAATAAGATAGAGCTAATATATATAAAAATATAATAAGATTGAAGATACAATTTTTCTATATATATATTTTTTATAAAGTTTTTACTAATACAATCTTAATTATCAAATTTGATGTGATAAATATTGATTATTAAATATTATTATATATATTAATTATTAAGTATTGTTAATAATAAATTAAATTGCTATTCTTATGATATATGATGTTATAAAATTATTTTTTTATTTTTTATAAAATTAATTTAAATGAAAATTATATCTGAAAAAGCAACTTTCGTAAAGTAAGATGGAAATGCTTATTGTGTATAAGATACAAATTAATAATTAATTATAATAATTAATTTATAATTATATTTTAATTATATTTTTAATTATATTTTTAATTATATTTTAGTTATGTAATACATGCTATTCTATATAAAAGGTATTGGTAATTTTCAGAGATATGCGAATAGTTCATTTAAAGTTAATTATAATTATTGCAGAAACGAACTTATTTACTTGTGAAACTGCTTTAGCATGCCATCTAGTGTTTAATCCTGCAAAATGTGTTGTATATGTTAGTTTGATAAATTACGCAAGTTTAACAAATTAAAGTAGTTTAAAAAATTAGATTATAGCTTCAGAACACCAAGATCTTTTAATTCTCAATACAATGTACAACAAATTTAAAAAAAGACAGATGTTAAACAAGAAATACATTACATTTATCTGGATAAAATTTAAAAATAATGATATAATATAAGAATAAAAGAAATAACGATTTATTAATTTCTGATATATTTTATATTTATATAAAAAAAGACCACTTTTAAATGCCACTTTTGTTTTACATCACATAGATAATTCGCTTTTATTTATCTATGGATAACAATTTGAAAATTCAAAGAATTTTATTGAATAATAGTGGACAGCTAAGACATGTTAATTAGTTAAACGTGATGTTCTTTATATTTGCGGATACTCTTGTAGAGATGCCGTCATTTGTTATTAACAGATGATCGCGTGATCTTTACATCATTAAGATCTACTAAAACAAAATGCACACAAAATATGCGATCATCAGCAATACTTTTTCATTGAAAAATGAAAGTGCATATAGTCTTTGATATATATGCATTTATCTGTCGATAGGATGGAGATCTGTAGTCACTGTAAAATACAAAGTGAATGCTGTCCTCTGTGGAACATCGGCAGAATTTGAAACCATTATTGAGAATACTCTTACAAACGTAATTTTCTGTCTATCTCTTGATAAAACAGAAAAGTAAGATATATATAACTTAATCTTATCTTATTTTTATTTGCATTAAGATATTTCGCACAAAGATGTTTTATTTATTGCTAATGAAGAAGATGAAGAATTAATAGCTGCACAAGGAGATAAGAGTAACAGAAATATTGCAAAATTTTTTATCTGACAAAGTGTCTTCTTTGAAGTTTTAATTGTAGTTTAGGTTTAGTTCCTGTTCGTCTTGTATCACATCACCGACCAAAAAAAAAAATGTTTTATCTGGTTTGAACACGTTATCATGGTCTTTTATCTGATAACAGATTTTATATTTATACGTATCACTTAGCCGATGTCGTTAGGAGTAACCGCAGAGATTCATATTCGTATGATTCAAATATTTTCTAAAATTTGTTAGAAAGCAACGGGTTTTAATTAAGCAAACTAATGCAACGCCATGTTATTTAAAATATGCAAATACAACTACATTTTTATTTATTTTATCATATTTTTAGCGAAAAAATTATATAACGATTAATAATTGTAATAAAATAAGAGTTTCAGGTTCCAACAGTTATTGTTGCATATATAACTATTTATTGTTATATATATATATTTTTTTTTATCATCTGATAAATTTTTGTTGGTTACTTTTATTTTGTTGAAAGAAAAATTTCAGATTAAAAAATAGATGAAATAATTCCTACGATATCGCTTTTAAGAAAAAATTTATAATGTAATAAGTAGTTTGAGATGTATAAAAATTAAAAGTTGATATATATATATTATCAATTCTCTCTATTTATATATATATATATATATATAATAATTAAATTAAAAGTGTAAGAGTTTACAAATTTGATAGATTTTGGTTGTCTTAAGATTGCAAATCTCAGTTACTTATATTTCTATATTTTTTTGTCAAATTATATAAATATTATGAAAATATATCCAAGCATGTATGATAGTTTCAGATAGATTACGCGTAATTTTCTTTTACATAAAAGTCTATATCAGTCATTAATTTTTTTCTCCTCTCACAGGCCATCGGCCGCACATAACACAATGTGTCCCTCTGGTTTTCCTGTTCTATCGTATTGTGACAAGGTAAATATTTAATGATCCCTCGTATAAAAAGAAAAACGCCCCGTTTATGTAGAGACTAGGAAAACGGAAAGAGTCATCGTAACGGGAAACGAAGCGCGACAGTAAGAGTGTAACGCTGAAATGGCGATCGATGATTACAATTTATTTATATGCTTCCGAGAAAATCGTCCTTTTGTGTTGTCCCTCGCGGCTGCAAAATAGTCTCACGGGTTTAAGACCCCGACCTTAGTGTTCTCAATACTTATCAAAGATCACTTTGACCTTGTCTCGATATGTAGTACATATTGTACAGGCTGCATATATATGTTTCGAACGGTGTATATTTTAATCATTGCTTCTCTTCAGGGTTGGGAAGTAACGAGTTACTTGTAACGAAGTTACAGTTACAGTTACTTTTTATCGGTAACTATATATAACTTAACTTCGTTACTTTTCTCCATCTGTAACTGTAACTTAGTTACATTTTTTAAGTAACTAGTAACTATTTTAATAGTTACTTTATTAGTTACTTTTTTGGAAAAAGTTATATTGTATTAAATTCTGATAACAGTAGCACATGGATCTTCATATGATTTAATCGTTTACCTAAAATTTTCATTTAGTGTACATAAAATAATATAACACATAATTAAGATCGATCAATTATAATCAAGTATTTAACAAAATTCTTAAATGTAATAATTAGTCGATTTGCGACTTTGCGATTACCATTTAGTAAGTTACTAACTATTGTTACTGCATATAAAGGTCATTCATACATTGATGGTACAAATCGATCAATTATTACATTCAAGAATTTTTTTAAATACTTGACTGTGATTGTGCATAAAATGTAAGCTTCTTATATATTTAAAATAATGTATAATTATTTTTAAAAAGTAACTGAAACGACTCGTTACTTTTTGAGTAACTGCAACTGTAACGAGTTATTTTTTAGAATCGGTAACTTGTAACTGTAACTAGTTACTTTTACAAAGTAACTTTCCCAATCCTGCTTCTTTCTCTCTCTCTCTTTCCTCTCTTTGTTGCATC